AGAAACCGGCCATGGATGAGGGATCAGAAAAGCAATTAAAAGTTCTTTGAACAGCAATAGCTTGCAACAAACACTAATTTGTACTTCTCTTTTGAGAAGTGAATACAAAATAGCATTTCTAGTGCCATTTGATGTAAATTGAGCCTTTTATGGGGAATCATTACAAGTATCAACACTTACTTCTGCAAATTCCTCTGGGAAGCCAAGTGGGGGTCTCTCCTCACAACTTTAACCAGAGGTCCTCAGGGATGAATTCAGAGCTCACCCTTCTGCAGGGATAATGCCAGCATCTCTCTGGGACAAATGAACAGGACCCTGTCCTGCTACTGGACAATCGGGAGCTGGGAATCGAGGCAGACCCAATAAGTAGCAATTATTTCTTCAGACCAGTTAGCGAAGCACACACAGGAGATGACCCTGGGACAAAAAGCTATCAGCTTTCAGTGGCAGAAGGGCACTTGGAAACACAGCTCCTGGAACAGGACTTGCCTGTGCCAGGTGTCTCTGCCCACTGCCCCAGAGGCATGGCAGAGGTCACACTTTTGGAGCACACTGCTGCTGCTCGGTTGTTGCAGTGCCACAGCACGTTCTCAGATACTTTGGAGAATTGTCAGCTGCAATGCATAACAACATCATCCAGTGTATTGAAACTGCCTGGAAGACTAATGCAAGGATTGCCTTCTCCTTTGTACTTGGCTTTCTGCATTTGTTGGAGTGCTTACTCATGCTGGAGATAGACAAATAAATAAATAAAGCCTGAAAGAAGGAGGGAAAAAAAAGAAGGAACTCCAAACCAGCCAATTAACCTTTGAAACACAAGTCATGCTGCTGCTAACTAACAGCATCCTGTAACCTCCTAATTACCAGCCATGTACAACGTGGCAGTTGGAGACAGAGCTGGCTGTTAACCCCACGGACGCGCTGTGCGGGAGGATCCGATGTCTGCTAATGACTGAAGTCCCAAAGAAACTCGCTTTCCATCATCAGCCTCCTCCTGCTATCAGGATCTCCTGCCGCAAACTGGCTCTGCTGCCATGAAATCTTCAGTCTGCCTCTGAGAAGAGCAGCAGCTCCAGCATCTTCTCATCTTCCCCATGAGCCAGCTAGCTGCGAGGGTGGTCATGCCCTCAGCCACAGGGCAGGATCCTTGCCTAAAAGGGTACTACATGGGTGATGTGCATTAAATGGGGTGGTGCCAGCTACGTTAGCCAAGGGCAGCCAGAGTAACCATGTCAGCAGACTGCTGTGAGCTTCAAATTCCCATAAACACATATTGAAGACTTGATGGGATTTGGATATGGACAGGTCTGCCTCACTCATCTGGAGGTAGCAGCCGGGACTGTGGCAGTACAGACACCGATCCTGTTCATGCCTTGCCAAAGGGTGCTACCATGGCACGGGCGTCCCCTTGGCCTGCAGCTACCGTCAGGGCCAGCAGCAGAACCCACTGGGTTCTGTCTCCAGCCTGGCACCTCGATTTCCTCACCCAGAAGATATGGACAATAATGCTGGCTTGCCTCAAGAGGGCTCCATGAGACTTCTCCGCAAAGCGCTGCCGTGGCCCGGGATGCAAGGCAAGATAACGCACCAAGCACTAGTACAGCTCTATCTTCCATATGTTGTTCAGTCCTCTCCACCCCTCCCCCTCACACAGAGGATTGATGCCTTGGCTTTGAATAGCACCCCGACATAAAAACGTGTACGGCGGGCCCATCTATTTGCAAAGCCACTGATGACTATGAAGTCCGAGAAGCCAAAAAAGAAAAGCAAGCAGCCATTAGTAAGTTTTTATAAAAGGGATTGGGCATTTCCTTACAGACAGTGAGGTTTGGGGAGGACTTCCTTGTGGTTGCTGCCCTGATTGCAGCCCAGTTAGATAAAACCAGTCGATGGCTGAAAACAAGTGGCAAGAGTCGAGACCAGGGAACCTGCTTAAGCTCTTCCACCCAGAGCAAACGTCTCCATAGTGGGTGATGTTTTGCAGGGCTTCAGGGCCCAGGAGTCCCCTGTCCATGCTGCTGTCAGCAGGCACAGAGCACAGGAGGCCTCCCCAACAGCAGCCCCAGAACCCCTGCTCCCTGGGTAATGCTGAACAGCTTGGTGGGAGTGAGGGAAGCAGAGGAGAGCCACAGAGCAGCTATCCTTGTAGGCAGGTCCTAAATCCTTATGACTTGGGGAATGGCCTCCAGGTTTTCACCTGGGAAGGTGGAGAAGGAGATGATGGCAACACCCACGCCTGGTTAACAGCCTGAGGAAGGCTCACACTTTCTCGCCTTGTAATTCCTGCTCTGAGTAGAGGTGCAGGGTTACGGGCAGCATCCATCACTCAGTACCCAGAAAGCTGTAATTAAACTGCTCTTCCTGGCAAGGATCATGGCATACCCAAAACAAGCCATTCTGAATCACAGAATCCCAGCATGGCAGGGGTTGGCAGGGACCTCTGTGGGTCACCCAGTCCAACCCCCTGCTGAAGCAGGGTCACCCAGAGCAGGCTGCACAGGACCTGGTCCAGGTGGGTCTTGAATATCTCCAGAGAAGGAGACTCCACAACCAACCTGACCTCCACTCTGTCCCAACACCACGCTGTGGGCTAATGACAACTTTGCTCAGGCATCTCCTTCTTATCGCCACACAAAGCCAGCCTCCCACCTGAAGTCCTGCAGCCAGTTCTCACACGAGGAGGGCTGTGGGTTCTGAAACCACCCCGCTTTGCTCACAGAAGCCCCAGACTTTCATGTTAAACGGTCTGGGAGCCTAGAGCCATTTTCTCTTGCTTTCAGATAGTGTCTCAGCCTCTGGCAATGCCCTGGAGGTCACTCTGTTGATAGGAGAGTGCTCGGGCGAGGTGTTTCGAAGCTGGGCTCTGACAGCTCCACAGCTCGTTATCCCCGCTGCGCATCAGAGACACTTTGCAGTCAGGCACGTGGAGGAACTTTTACAGGTCTCACTTCAAAATTCCTCCCTTTTTATTGGGCCCACGCCGGGCAGTGCCTGCGAGCAAAGCTGGCAGGGTTCTGATGCTCTGTAGCCAAAAGCTTCAGAATCTTTATTGCCATTGGCTTTGAGATGGTTTCAAGCAAACCTTTTACAAGGTAAAATCCAATATAAACCTGCCGGCTACAGTTTTCCTTTGTTAGCAGCAAGGATGTAATTCTCACAAATTACCTTTATATGAGTGACTGTGGACAGACTCCATGCGATCCCCGGGCCTTCTCACCGCAGCCTGCCTAAGGTTTTCCCCCAGCACCCATCATGGCAACATCCAACGACCGGCAAAGCTGTATCCGCCTGACAAAAGAGTATCCACGCAGAAATGCAGCTGCCACGAGGAATGAATAGTCTATTCAAAGGCTACTGACAAGGTGTATTTCCTAATTTTAAAAGCTGTTGTGGAACAACTAACCAGACAGAAAGCTGACAGCAACAGCTTTTTCTTTGTTGGGTTTGGACACTCTCTGCTGTGTGAACTAATTTATTGTTGCATGGCTGAGGTTCATGTGTTTTAGCTGAGTACTTGCTTTTCTGAAAGAAAATCTGTCTCAGCATAGAATATGGGGCTTTAAAGCACAGAACTGGAGAGAAAATAAAGTAGCAGCACTCTGGAGGAATATGTGCCATGGTCTCGAGCAGGACTTAATCCTGGGAAATGACGGAGAAGAAAATGCAGAGCCTCTTGTCCTGCCTTTTGATGTCCTACGCTACTCTGTCTGCCTTTCCTCCTCACTCCTGAGTGGACAGACCAAGGCAGAGAGGAGGAACAGGTTTATAAATAACCCTGACCTAGTCCTGATCCTGCAGTGAAGAATCTAGGGGAGCACTGGATGAATTTTTGACTGCCCGTCTCTCAGAAGCTCAGTATGAGGATGTCCTGCCCTCACTGGGATGTGTTTTCTGCACCTGATAGAGAGGTGGCACAAGAAATTCAAGAGCACATCTTGAGAAAACAGTTGAAAGTAACCAGTATTTCTGAGAAAGAAAAGCCCAGAAAAGCACAGCTTTCCCCAGAGTGACCAAGTGGAGACACTCGGCTGAGTCACCTCCCTCTCCCATCGCACAGCCCCTCAAGCTCCCATCGGCCAACAACAAGGACAAGCTGTCCTCAGCCGCCAGCACTGCCATCACCGTGCTCAGACTAGCACTGGGAACAACACGGTTACTCTTTCCTCCCTCCAAACACTTAAATGAAAGACCTACTTGCACACCTCCCTCCCCCATCGCGAGTCACCTCCCTCTCCCATCGGCCAACAACAAGGACAAGCTGTCCTCAGCCGCCAGCACTGCCATCACCGTGCTCAGACTAGCACTGGGAACAACACGGTTACTCTTTCCTCCCTCCAAACACTTAAATGAAAGACCTACTTGCACCCTATGAGATCAAGTTAAAGGTTTTGGAGCCTTCATGGAGAAACTAACTCTTTTTTTTTTCCTTTGTTGCTTTTAACATTGCCTGACAGTTTAAGTCTTTATTTAACGGTCCAGAATCAAAGAAGAAACTTCCGCATAGGTTATTTGCACTACAAGGTCCGCCATGCACCACCACCATCAGAGCAACGGGGTATTTCCACCAGAACAATTCACACTCATATGAGTAATTCACAGCAAACAACTGGAGGAGTCAGGCTCGGAGCCGCTGCATCCTAACACACACATTTAAACTCTCCATGCTAGCCACCTTCCTGGCTTTTCACACGTGGAAGGATGCTCCTGCTCATCACATGTCTGCAGGATCAGGCCCTCGGCCCCATCTGGGGCTCTGAGCAGCCTGGTCTAGTTTAAGATGTCCCTGCTCACTGCAGCGGGGTTGGGCTAGATGAACTCTAAAGGTCCCTTCCAACCCAAAGCATTCTATGATTTGGTGCTTCCAACTTTCATGAAAATCACTTGCTCCGTCTCTGGCATGGCTTCGACAGAACCACGCCAAGCCACCATGCAAGCCGCCATGCCTTGGAGCACCCGAAACCACAGACCCTCAGGGCTCTTCAGACCAGTCTCGCACTCACCTGCTCGTGGTACTCGATGCCCATGCTCAGCGTGTTGATGAGAATGGCTATCATAATCCCCCGGTTGAAGTACTTGCTCTCCACGATCCTCTTCAGCTTGCTGCCAAAAGCCTTCCACAGCCGGGTGAGCTTGTTCCTCTCCTTAGGTTTCTTCTTCTTCCTCCTCCTCCTGCCCCTCTGCTGCTGGAGCTGGTCTCTGTGGTCGCCGTGCCGCAGGTCCTGGGTGAACTCGTAGACGCCATTGCTGTCGGAGTCGCAGCTGTCGGACTCGCTGAAGGCGAACTCGGGGTCGTCCAGGAGGCTGGCGCAGAAGGGACC